TTCTAAATTAAACGAGGAAAGTGGTTTTCTTGTTTTGTTAGCAAAATTAGTCTTGGACTCTTTTAGCATGTCACGTACGAGAGTCGCACAACAGGTCGAATTTTCGCGCACTATTAGATCATGTTTCATTGAAGGGCTCAAATTCAATATATATTTTAACAATCTCGACCTTGACTCAATATTTAAGTCAAGTCACAATCGCTTCGCTGGAACCTGATAACTGCTACTCTCCCACGGCCCCTCATGGGCTCAAGTGCCATAGAGATCTTCCAAGTCCAAGCTACACTTGAATTTGACTGTAACCGTGGACTTTATCAAGACACCAACTCTACCTACAACAGTAACCGCCACACAAGAATTTGCGGACACAACCACCGTTGTGTCAATAGCCATCAAAAGATTAAACTTTGATCTTGTCAATCTGGCGAGGCCCACACCAGATCTGGGCGAGGGTCGCCTCACCCTTGATTGTCCGGAATATTTAGCCGGAATAAAAAAATAATTTAAAATTAAAATTGTCTTTGGACGAAAATGCTCTTAATCGGTTGGAATATTTAGTTGATTAACAACCGGCAAGGTCAGGCCCTGATTTGAACTGTTGTGGCCACTTTAGGCCTTTATTTAACAACTTCAAGTCCATATTTGAGAGAATGGGAGCATTTCAGGTCTTTATTTGGAATTTCCCCAAAGAATGAATATGCATATAACACCTCTTGTTCTCTTTCCTTTTATGGAGGAGTCAGGACGTCTCGTATATTAGCGAAAGGGTTCTCTTTCCTTTTATATGGTTCATTCTGTCACCATTGCGATGTAGACACTATCTTGCAAAAGGTTAAAAATAAGAAGAAAAAAAAAATAAAGAAAAAGAGTGGTTGGACCGTCTTGAATGAGTTGAACATCTAAATGATTCATTAATTGGAATAGTGAAATCCATGTCCCACAATTTTGGTGCTAATATTATTTAATCGATATCGTGAACTTGATAATTAGGTGAAGCATCCCTCGATGGGCTTCTATCATGAAAGGTGTGTAAGAACTTCTTTGCGAAAGATGGCTCTTTTGTTTGTTGGGAGTGTAAATTTTCTAACCCAAGCTAGATTTTATGGCCATTTATTTATAATGTTAGCTAATGAGTAAAAGCATCACTAACCCCATTAAAGAATGATGGAGGTGGCTTATGATTATGAATAAAAACAGTTACTTAGCCTGTGTACTAAAGGTTAATCATTTGTGTTAACAAAATCTCCTTTTTCAGATTGTAAATTTTGGAGAAAGATCCGATGTGCTCCCTCCAAAATCTTCGGCTAATTGTTTAGGACGCGAGGACATGAGCGATTCGGGGGCTAGTTTCTACAGGGGCGACTCTAACTTATTAGGTTAAGTTTCAAGAAAATAGTTTCTTCGTCCCATTTGGTATAAACAATATGAAGCAATTTTTGTTTATTGGTCAAGCAATAACCGAAACGATATAACCGAAACGAGCAGCCTAATATACAAACAGAAAGCTGCATCAGCTTTTCGCTTCCACAAACCATTTCCAGGCTCAGAATGGAAAAGACCAAGCAAAGGCTGCAGCATGTTAAAAAATAAAATTTATGGAAAAAAGCTTCATATTGGTCAAGCAAGAAACAGATGATCTGTCACACCCGGCAACATTCCGAAAGCAGAGAAGCAGGAAATCTGCGTCCAAATGCTAATAATGGGAGATTTTGAAGATATCCATTGCAGATCCTCTCGGTGCTGGACTACTCTCAGTCCTCGCCAAGGTCACCCTCAGATAAGTGACCTTTACAGTGCCCATAGCTGAAACATCAAGCTACACACGGCCAAGACTAATGGATCTTAAATTTTTCCTAACAGTCGCATAGTAAAGCAAATGCCGCTAAAATCCATCCCCAGAACACTACAAAAGAAGAGACCATCTAGTTAAGCCATTTCTTCCCATCCATAGCTTCGCCACATCACGCACAGTCGGTTTCTTTCCATATATTCCAAGAACGGCATCTCCATAAACTTCATCCTCTTTTAAGGACCTGAGAATTGGATAATTGCGTGGAGGGGAATACTCGAAGCAAACAGGAGGCAGGCACTAAGCAAATAATTAATAATATCCAGCCACATGTACAACTATACCTGATGGCGCGTGACACCACTGCTTGGAACACCATAAACAGCGCTATCTGCGTACGCCAAAGTCTGCCATGGGCTGTTAAAATATACAACCAATTTCAAATCTCTGAACAAATTTTGCAACCATAAGGCGGGCACTGCTCGGCTTAGCTAAAGATCTAATCAAGTTTGATCTACATCGTTGCATTTTATATCGTAAAAGAAAATAATACCTTTCTTCAATACCATCAACATTCCCTTGGATTATTCATCCTGTTGCTGTATCGCCCTCAAATTTCAAAGATAGATGGCGAAACTAACAGAAGCAATTAATGCAGAACTGGAAGCACCAATGCATAAGAATTTGATAAAGCCGTAGCTGCTAACTATGCGGAGGCATGGATGGACCTATAAAAGTTACAGACAGCAGCGCGTCCAGCAATTACACCGTGAGCTCCTTCCAGCAATGCCGCCTTCACCTGTATACACAAATATCCATGAAAAATTGGTGAGTCACGAATGTCATGTCAAATGATGGTGCTAAAAAGTTTTACCAATAAGATGATTACACAAACTCAAGACAAAATGGCAGTTTCCCCAGCCAAAGTATTTCCAAATCAAGATCTCAATCTATCCATGAGCTACTCAAGGACAGCTTAATTAGTTCGATTTCGATTAAGTTTGAACTGCGAGATAATTACGTTGAGTCAGCTTGAGTTCAATTTTTGAACTCAAGTAGCTCCTGAGCCTAATTTCGTAATTAATCTTTTGTTTTGATTTCATCGCAAGACATTTAAACATAACAAATTATCAATTATATTGTATTTATAAAATTTTAGTTTGAGCTCAAGCTCGTGTACGGGCTTGACTGAGCGGAGACTCATCTTTCATAAGATAATTGATCGAGTCTCTATTATTCAATACGAGTTGAATTAAATTAATAGTCTGTGTCAACTCAACTCAGCTCCACTACGTCTTAGATTCAGACGTGCATAGAAACACAATTACAAATCAAACTTTCCATTGGGAATGTGAAGTACATAAACCAATTTCCACGTTCATAACAGATTGATTAGCAGTTGGATTATATGATAAGCTGAACATACTGTACTGTTTCCCAAGCACCATAATTAAACCATTTAAGAAAATTCACGGAACGAAAAATAACAAACACATTAAAAAAGAAGAAGAAAGAAACAAGAAAACAAAGAACTTTGGAATCCGACGATTGTTAGCAGGGCTGATGCCATCGAGTAGTGCCTTACGAGAATGTATAATGAAATGTCTCGTTGGTGAGAGAGAAGAAACCTCATAAATAAAACCAGCTGTAGAGTAATCAAGCACCATAAAGTTAGACATAAAGGCATCAGGACAGCTCACTTAAAAGGTTATGATTTTACTGAAAACTATAGTGCAAAGAATGGGGTTGTAATGTGGCCAAATGAGCAAAATCAGACTTTATGAAACTTATACAGCAGTTAGTCATCTTTGGTGAAATGCCCTTGAAAACAAGTGAACCGTTTCCAAAAAGAAGGCAAACAATTGTAGTCGAGAAACTGTTAATAATTAAATATTTGTGCAATTAATATTGCTTTTGGTCCGTAAAAGCAACCCTTTTGCAATAGTTCACACTCGTATTGGATAAAGCCATCATAGGCCCAGCCTAGCAAAGCTAGTGCTTCGTAGTGGCGCTCCCTCAACCTTAACTCTAATCCTATAAGGAAGGCTCGATGCAGAGCAGTCGTAATTCAAATTAAACATCGAATTTCCTCTACGTGACCTATACAATGCCCATAGCTGAAACATCAGCGATAAATGGCCTACACGTATGGATATTAAATTTTTCCAATAATGTTCGTCGATGCCTCCAATTCCAGGCCAAGTGTAATGCGTGAACAGTGTCCGTTGTGATTTTTCAAATTTCTGTTTGTTGTTGATCAGGTTTAGTGCAGAAGGTTGGGGACCGGATTTGCATTGCATCGAATTTGTGCTGCGGTTGGTATCCTGGTTGCTCGCTGTCTAAAGTTCTGAACTAGTGTTCGATTTTGTTTCATGCGATTAATTTGCACATTTGTTGCGAAGGAATGAAGCTACTACATTGAGGTTTGATCCTGTTCTGAACTGTATTAACTCTGTCCACCGTGTGATGCTTTAAGATAATATGTTGTCCTTGCCTAAAAGTAGTTGTGAGGCCTCTTGTTAGTTGGAAGACTTGGCTTTTGCTCTTATTGATCAGGAAAGAATAGAACCTGTAAGACAATGAAAAAGAGAGAAATGTGAATGAGGCTAAAGCTAAAATTGGAACCAAACAGCGTTAAAGCATGAAGGCAAGAAGCACTAGATGACAAAAGAACTCTCCCCCTGTCTCGATCTCGACTTCAAAATGGTAGATCATCAGGGATGCTAGACGGTGACGGGTGCGACGACAATGCTTGAATGAGAAGAAAGGTTAAAGATAAAGAAGAAAGGCCAAAGTGTGATAATTAAAGAATAGAACATACATACATCCCTGACAACAGCCAAAGTGCTCGAGTTTTCATGCCTTTAATTTACAAATTTCTATTTGTTGTTGATCATGTTTAGTGCAGAAGGTTAGGGATCGGATTTGCATTGCATCGAATTTGTGCTTTGGTTTGGTATCCTAGTTGGTCGCCGTATGAAGTTTTGAACTAGTGTTCGATTTTCTTTCATGTGACTAATTTGTGTAATAGTTTTTCTAATATGAGTTACATTAATTGATATTGTAATTTATTGTTTTACGGAGTTGGTCTAATAAGGTAAGATATAAAGTTTCTTAAATAGTCTAATATGGGACTGGCTAGTGTGAGCTGAGTACGACCCGGCTCGTGATGAGAGGACCTGGCAACATTCCTTCCTTTGTTTTGTGCTCATTTCCAGTTTCAAATTTAAAGCTGCATCCTATTTCCAAATTTGGATCCATTTACAATCTAATAAGCACCCCAAGCACCTTCAGGTCCTACCTATGTCTTGCCTACCGTGCAACGTAACAACCGTGAATTACCTTGAGGTCTGGTCTCAACAAATACGACACACTCATAGCTCAGAATCAACTATAGGATACGAGACGATAAAATAAGGAAAGGAAAGGAAGCTACATCTACATACGCAAGAGAGCGAGTCTATTACCATTTTGATAGAGGACTTCAAAGATGTAGCGACATTTGTATTAGTTTCAAGTGAAGTACTGGGCGCCTTCACTTCAACCCAATCGTCTTCACCAGCATTCAAATTAATCTCATTTTTGGATCTTTCTACGGCAAACTCATCCATAGAGTCCCCACGAGAAGCGAGATTAGCTGCTTGAGGAACATCCCCGCCAGAAACTTCGTCCCTGACGACAATGCCGCATCGAACCGTACAGAGATACTCATTGCCCGCCCGCTGCTTGGGGGCGTAGTATATCTCGTAAACTCGAGCAGTGCTTCGGACATAAACTTGGCCCACATCGTGTCGCTGAGCGAAACTAACTGCAGCAAACGAATCCTTTGTCACTCATAACCGCAACTAAGGCACTGAAACAATTCTTCTTCGAGGCTTAAGCAAGTAATGATCGGGCGGTCGAGGTGAAAAGTACACATAAACCACCACTACATCACATTAACACGAATCGTTCGAAAGCTACTGAAGCCGCTAATCGATGGTCTGACTCGTGTGCTTCAAATCAAGGACAAAAAGAATATAATTCAAACGCAATAAAAGATGAAACTTGGAGAAACCCCGCGACCGAGCGACTGCATCTCGCCTCATAGTCGTGACTAATTACTAATTCACTACGCGAAAACGATAGAACCCACACACCAGCACTCGGGAAGCGAAGAGTGAGCCGGAAAGGGCTTACCAGTGATCTCGCAGGGGCTGTGATCCGGCGAGGGAGGGCGCAGGAGGAGAGGAGCTCTCGGAGCTGAGCCGACCGCGCCGTCATCGATCGGAGAAAGAGGCGACTCGACGGTCATGGAGTCGGCCAGACGGCCGGCTGAGACGATCCAGCTCGTCGCGACGCCGCTCCAATCGGTGTCTTCTCCTCCGGCGACGATCGAGCCCATGATTGATGGATTCTTCAAACTGGGAAGCGATGGAAATCGCTCGGCGGCGGTCGCGATTTCGATGGAAATCTGGACGGAAGGAGGCGGAGGCGGAGGAGGTTGGGAGCGTGCGATCGACGTCTAGCGATCTCAGATTTCTCAATGGGCCCCGTATATGAAAATCGGAAGATCTTATATATATATATATATATATATATATATATATATGAAAAATTAATTTACTTTACAAAATTGAGATGGAAATGTGAAAATCCGACACTTCAGGAAAAAAAAAAAGAAGAAAAAAAGAGTCGTAATATCCCCTCGGGAAAAATCTTCCATGAACCTCCTTTTTTATTTTTTATTTTTTACCATAGTTAATCCAGTAAGTTAATTTAAAATGTTCCTTTTTTCCTTTCAAACCAATTCAACAAATAACAATTTCAATTTCCAATTGCTCACCTTATCCAAGAAACGGTGACACGGACATGTTCAAATAATCCCTGCATCATTAATGAAACCCAATAAATTGCTCACATCCCCCCTTGAATCAACAAGAAAGTACAATGGCGAATGTGTAAAGGCATTTTTATGATGGACGATAGGCCTAACAATAATCGCTAGTATTTTTTTTGTAAGGAATTTCTAATTAATTTGCTCGATTAACTTTGGTCAACAAAAATAGGTTAGATGATAGAGATTAGCGGGTTTGCTTGTGAATGATATTCCATCGATTAGTTATCTCAAATCGCTAGCACTTTTCAATCTTAAGTATAAACTTTTCTTATTTTCGTCAAGGTGAATCTCTCTTATTTTACAAAAACTAAGTAGATCCAATTTCTTTTTTTTTTTAAGGGACACGTCTATTTTTCTGAATTTATAGATTTTTTTTTCCTACCGGCAAAGTGTGTGATCTTTTCCTTGCAGAAAGAAGATAAATGATTTTCCACAAGATGCATCTTATCTAATGAACCCGATTTGCCACGTTTTCCCTGGTACGTATGTTTTTCCTTCATTTCTTCTATTTATGGAATGCAAGCGTGACTCCTATTTTGTAAATAATTCATGTGTGATGTCATAATCGTGCTATACTTCTAACGATAGTCAATCTAATCCCCATTTGAAAAGTGACGGTGATTAGAGGACGTATGTTCATCCACCAGTTGCCTCCACATGTCTAGAAAGTTCAATGGTAACTATTTTCGGTTCAAATCAAAATTATGCATTGGATCAAACAAACAAGTCAACTGCCTTTCCACTTCTCTAATGAAAGGCATGCAATAGATATCCTTCTTAGCTTCTCCCTATGGTCCATCTTTTATCTTTTGATTCTATTCGGACGCCCTACATCGTCTGCGATAGCACCGAAAAAGAAAGGGAACGATATCGACCGGCTTCGTCGGCTGATCGCATTAGGTTAAGGCCCATCGGCTTATTTGATTGATAGCGTGATGAAGTTTGAAGTCGCTAATGACTTCTTTAGGATGATACTTCTTTTGTCTCGCTAACTAACCGAAAGAGAGGATGGTTTTGGGAATTCGGTTGCCCTCACACGGCCTCTACTTGAATAATATCTCCACGGCTAAACATAATCACAGCTGCTACGTTGACCTCCTTTTGGCAAGTGTGGGGAGCGAGATGAGGCTAATTGTCTCAAGAACCTCATCATTACTTTCAGAAACTACAAAACCAATTTGAAAATTGCAAACACCAGGTGATACAGACAAGATAACCATGACCGCTTGTCTGATTATACAGTAATTGATCACAAATGGGATAGCAGATGACAGTGCAGACAGACCACCTTCCAAAACAGTGGCAACAGATGACCTATCCAACTAATCTCTCTCCTTTTCCTATCGACTTTGGTATTAGAAGATATCTGAGGGAGCTGTTGCACAAACAAAGGAATGATGATTATGCATATAACGCCTCTTGTTCTCTTTCCTTGTATGGAGGAGGCAGCACATCTTTTTATGTTAGCGAAAGGGTTTTCTGAACCGGACGGAACCTCCGCAACAGGTGCCTCCAGCATAGAGTCGGAAATTGCATCGTGCGTCTCCTCAAAGAAAGACTTCATCGTCTACAAGGTACCAAGACTGCATTAGAATTAATCAAATGGTCAGAATAAAGGACACAAAAGTTTGATATCATCTAAAGGAATAGCCTAATGTACATACGTACAGTGCAATGCTGGAAAGCTGCATCAGCTTCCGCTTCCGCAAACCATTTCCAGGCTCTGAATGGAAAAGACCAAGCAAAGGCCGCAACATGTTAACAATAGAATTATTGATAAAGCTTCGTCTTGGCCATATAAGAAACAGATGATCTATCACGCCCGGCAACATTCCAACAGCAGAGAAGCAGGAAATCTACTTCCAAATGCTAATGATAGCTTTGCAGCAATAAATACTATACGCAAAGAATTTAGTTTATCCGTGACAGATCGTCTCGGTGCTGGACTACTCTCGACAAGGTAACGCTCACATAAGTGACCCATACAATGCCCATAGCTGAAACATCAGCTATAAACGGCCTAGCCTAATGGATCTTAGATTTTTCCAACGGTGTTCTTCTACGCCTCCAATTCCAGGCTCGGCATCACGCGCACACAGTGTTCATCGTGATTTTTCAAATTTCTCTTTGTTGTTGATTAGGTTTAGTGCAGAAGGTTAGGGACTGGATTTGCATTGCATCGAATTTGTGCTTTGGTTTGCTCGCTGTCTGAAGTTCTGAGCTAGTGTTCGATTTGCTTTGATGCGATTAATTTGCACATTTGTCGCAAAGGAATGAAGCTACTACATTGAGGTGGATCATGTTCTGAACTGTACTAACTCTATCCATCGTGTGATGCTTTAAGATAATATGTTTTCCTTGTCTGAAGAGTAGTTAAGTCTCGGCGTTTGCTCTTATCGATCAGGAAAGAATAGAACCTGCAAGACAATGAAAAAGAGAGAAATGTGAATGGGGCTAAAGCTAAAATTGGAATCAAACAGCGTTAAAGCTCGAAGGCAAGAAGCACCAGATGACAAAAGATGACTCTCTCTCTGAGTAGTTAAGACTCGGCGTTTTCTCTTATCGATCAGGAAAGAATAGAACCTGCAAGACAATGAAAAAGAGAGAAATGTGAATGAGGCTAAAGCTAAAATTGGAATCAAACTGCGTTAAAGCTCGAAGGCAAGAAGCACTAGATGACAAAAGATGACTCTCTCTCTCTCTCTCTCTCTCTCTCTCTCTCTCTCTCTCTCTCGACTTCTAACTGGTAGATCATCAGGGATGATGGACAGTGACGTGTGCGATGACGATGCTTGAATGAGAAGAGAGGTTAAAGATAAAAGAAGAAAGGCCAAAGTGTGATAAAGAATAGAACGTACATACATCCCTGACAACAGCCAATGCGCTATGGTTTTCATGCCTTTAATTTACATTCCACGAGTTTCTTGCCCACTCCTCCTGTTCCATACTGACATCAGCTTGAGTCCTGTTGCTTCTAACTCCTTTATAACTTCGCATTACTTGACACTCGGTTGCATGAAACAAGACGTTCATTCCTATCGGATCGTATTCAAGGTATTATCGACTCTCTGTCCTCAATAGTCACCTTTTTCTGTTATTATATTTTCCGGCTTGCATATCTATTCAATCATCGTTGCCTTATTGTTATACTCTAAATAGCATCGATACTGACACGCGACACGTTGACATGTCATTTCTCAAAAAATAAAGAATTCCGACACGTTGGGACTCATTGTATAACAAATGTATATTTTTATATATACATGATAAATTATCACTCTTATGGTTATTTCAATTAAATTAGTTTGATTCGAATCCACAAATAAATCAATAATTAAAAAAAGAGCCCATAATGAATTAATATTTTGATCCCTAATTTATTGGAAATGTTTAAAATTGACCCGGCCGTGTCGGGATGCTAAACTTGCGTGTCGCTAGCGTGTCCGGAGCATTGATCACATGTTGGATGTCTGACACATGTTGACCACGTGTCCGACACCGACGCGAAGGCTTATGGAGAGTGTCCATGCTTCCTAGGAGGTAATACTCATGCTGACTAAAAGATTTCCTTCCAGGATCTGGGGAGAGAGTGAGGATCGAATGGGAAATACGAAAATTATTGCAGAGGCCAAGAATTTATGGATGAAACTCAATCTCCGAGGGGCGATCCTTACGAGCCTATCTCTGCAAGTCTTTCTCATCTTTTTTGCACCCATGCGAAAGAGGTGGTCAAACTGGTGGTTCTTGGCTCTCATGTGGTCGGCTTACTTGGTTGCCGACTCGATCGCTTTCTATGCCTTTGGACTCATTGCCAAAGCCCAATTTAATGGTGGTACTTCAGACTCCGAGGTCGATGCATATGGCGACCTTTTGGCATTTTGGGCTCCATTTCTGCTGCTACACCTCGGAGGACCGGACACCATAACCGCTTTCGCGCTCGAGGATAATGAGCTATGGCGGAGGCACTTGCTTAATCTCTTATTCCAGCTAGGCACCGCATGCTATGTGTTTTACCAATCCCTCCCCAGTAACAAGCTAATTGTCCCCACCATCCTCGTGTTTATTGGAGGAACCATAAAATATATAGAGCGAACTCGTGCTCTGTATCTTGCAAGCTTCAGTAAATTCCGTGGTTCCCTGCTCCCGTCCATTGATGCTCAGCCGGATCCCATACGTCTAAGACAGCTGGAATCCGTACATGCTGGAGAGCGAAATAAAACCGATTTGGGCGACAGAGAAGTGATAATAACCGCATTTTTTTGCTTCACAGTCTTCAAAGGCCTCCTTGTGGAACTCCCCTTCCACTTAGGTCAAATGCACTATAGCCTCTTTTTTTTCAGTACGACAACCGCAAAGGATGCTTTTCGGGTCATTGAGGCTGAGCTCAACTTCTTTTATGATGTTCTTTATACCAAGGCTGCCGTGGTTCACTGTCCAGCAGGGTACCTTTTTCGAGCTATCTCAATTGGTTCCGTCGTTACTGCTTTTGCACTTTTCTATGTCCTGAACAAGCATGGTTTTCACGAATATGATACACGGATTACATACACCTTGCTCCTTGGAGCTGTTGGCCTGGAATTTGTAGCTCTTGGTAGGCTCATTTGCTCTGACTGGACAATTGCACGTTTAGGGAGATTTGAAAAACAT